CGGGAACGGCACGGACCACCGCTGCGCCATTTGGAGGAAGAGAACAAGGAGAACGGCATAGGAATATTGAGTGATGGATATTGATTTAGATGCATGGGGATGCGTGTGCACAGCAGGTCTTGTAAGATGATTGAGCAAAATTGCAGATCCTGTTTTTGTCCGGATCTCAGACCGCTCTGACCGCCCTTTTTGATGTTTTTCTTTGAAGCTGGCACAGTTGTCCAAATACCGTATCCAGCAGAGCAGTTCGTTCCATTCAGTCTCTTCTCTCTCGCTCTTTGCTCTGTGTAATGTAGGACATGTACCTGCTCAGTGGGTCGTGGTCGTGACTGTGGTTGTGGTGATTGAAATATGCCGTCATACTCTCTAGCTGGCTGCTGCTTGAGCTACGAACTGCTGCTAATACGGCAATGAATGCGGAGCTTTTTAAAAATAATAAATAAAGAAATAAAATAAAATAAAATAAATTAGGGAAAAATAAAGAAAATATCCTATCCTCTCATTAATTTTGCGTGCTGAACTGTAAATTTCTCAGAGAGTTGAACAAATTTACAATTTTTGCCCGCGATTGTTTGTTCCCTGAACCAGATGAATCAGATCCTCGAGAGTTTTTGTTGATTTTCAAGCTTTTGACATTTGTTCAGTTCGGACCACGACAGACAACAACAACAACATCATCACCACAACATCAGCATCACCAATAACCCGCTATTACTCCTAATTACCACTACTAATACTACAACATACAATTTCGTACATATTAATATGCCTCTCAGCAACCCCCAAGGCCTATACTAACTATGTTCTAAATCCTCACCACGGCCTGGCTCATTGAGCGAAATATCTAATTACTGCAACCACTGCAACCTGAGGCCAGCTCTGGTTGCTGCGGCTGCTATTGCCAGTAATATTCTTGACAGTATGATAGCAAATCACCACCAAACACATCTCTAAACATCCATCCAAGACCCCAAAACACAGACCAACCATGGCAGCTTCGTGGTCATCATCAACCTCACATCCCCCTCCCGTTCTCCTCAGTACAAATCCAGACCTCATGAACAGACCGCCAGCAGTCCAGAAACGGAGGCTGTCCAGAGTCCCTGGCGGCTTTGATACGGACGACGAGCTCTCCCCGATGAAAATGGAGTTTGGGGACGAAGCTAAAGTAACCGGAGTGCGCAGTTACGATGATGCCAAACTGGAGCAATCGGGACAGCAAGAATGTGATGAAAGAGGACGCCGGCTATGGGATGAGAAGGAGAATATACCCGACCGCAGCAGCAATTTGTTTATGAGCCAGGATGATAAGAATAATAAGAGTCAGGATGACGATGACGATGCTTATAACAATAACAACAAGAATGGGTCACGGTTACTAAGCTCCCGAGATCCACACTTGTCATGGCCACCTCGCCAACAACCGCACCCGTCACATAATTCCTTGCGATCTCATGATGTGCCTGGCGACGATTATTCATCAGCTCCGATTCCACCTCCCAGCGTTGACTACACCGACTCCAGTAGTCTGCTGCTCCCTTTCCCCATTCACTATTCCAAATGTTATGATACCATGGACGGCTCTACCAATACTAACGACCATAACGACGACCCAGATCACGAGCACGAGCACGAACACGAACACGAACATGAGCGGGACCATGACAGCAGTCATGACAACAGTCATGACAACAACCATGGGATCATCTTTGACCACGAAAACGAAAACTCCAATGAGAGCTACAACGACCAGACGCTACCTAATCAGACTGCCCTAGATGAGAAAGAAATGCGCCAGAAACTGATGGACATTGAATCGAGCTTTGTCCCTGAGCCCTCTGCCATCGACGTCGCTGCTACCCCAGGTCTACGAGCCCCAGATGATACATACTTGGTTGGCGTGAATGTTGGGGTTTCATCACAGATTGAGGAAGGTGATAGTCGAGAAAGTCCCTCGTCCCCTTCCACACCTCCAGGCGCGTACAAAACTCCAGCAGCTCACCGCGCGACTGGATTGGACCCGTCGCTCTTCGAGGAGGAAAGGGATTCAGAACAGCACAAGAATTACGACCATGACCAAGATAACGATGACCAAAAAGGCCCTGATGTGACCCCCTCCGCCAAAGGGAATGATACTGTGAACACTTCATCGTTGGAGACGATTTCATCCTCTCCAACTGCGGCTGCTGCTGCAAGGACGGTCTCGAGGATTATCTCCTCTGCTCAGTCGAGGTCGAGTCTTCGGAGCAATTCGTCCCAGCGCCGTCAATATGCTGAGCGAGACCTTTCCAGCACCGATGATGATTATGTGGGTAACACGCCGCGCCGGCCGACGCGAAATATTTCTCCAGTTCCGAAGCAATTACAAGACACTACAGGTGTTAGTGGGAGTGAGGGCGATACACAGCATAGTTCGGGTCAATCTTCGGAGCGCCGACATAGAAGACCCAAGTTCCTGACGAGTCGGCAGTCTGTTCATCGCTTCTCGACCTCTTCTGTTGCGACGGTGACCACGGATACTGCATCAGAAGCAACCATGGGAGTCGATTTTGCACTCCAGTCCGGCGGAGCCGCCCCTGGAAACAGCAGCAGCCAGAGCTCACACAGCCACGGCAGACGTAAGAAGATGGAGCTATCAAGATCGATAAGTCTTGGGAGCATGGCGTCTGGCGTATCAGCAATGAGCGACGATAACTCGTTGGAGCCGCGGAGAGGTTTCAGTGGAGTTTCAGAAGCAAGCTTACATACCCTCAACGAAGAGGAATCCACTGCCCAGGCCCGCCCGGGATCATCGGGGAATAAGTCTGTAACCGACCCCATGACTCCTAAAGCTCAACCGCGGGATCAGCCACCACCCGGCACCGTCATTGCGGACCATACGAAGGATATCCCTATTCCAGCCACCCTCGCGCGCCAGTTCCGCGAAACTAATCTTGGCATATCCCCGGACAAGCGTGGTGGTGCCCCAACACCGGCCTTTGGCCGGAGTGGCAAGTCACTAACGCTTAAAGAACAGAGCAGCACGATTGATAGGTTGTCGAAAGAGAATTTCGATCTGAAGATGCGCATTCATTTCTTAAACGAGGCCCTTGATAAGCGGTCCGAGGAGGGCATCAAGGAAATGATTTCTGAAAATGTCGAGCTCAAATCGGATAAGCTTAAATTGCAGAAGGATAATCAGGCGCTGAGAAGGAATGTTCGTGATTTGGAGAAGTCGCTGCGCGAGCGTGGTCAGGGGGGTCAGGAGGGGAAGGAGAAGTTTGGGGGACAGAATGGGGAGGAGGCTTCTGATGAGGATGGCCGGGGGCAGGGACAGGGTGGTGGTGTGGATGAGGAAGAGCTGACATACCTGCGCGAGAGGATTGAGACATATGAAGTAGAGATTGAGAGATTACGGTCTGAGAGTATCTCGAGGGAAAGTGAGAAGCGGAAGTTGGCTGAGCTGGTTAAGTCTTTGGGAGAGGGGAGGGTGGCTATTGGCTCCGATGCTGGGGCAAGAGAGGAGAGGGTGAGTTTTCTTGAAATCTTTGCTTTGTTCATTCAATCATTTCCAGGCTGCAAAGTTTTATTTTGTGCTCGAATCATACTGACTTGTTAAATTTATCTCTAGGATATGTGGAAAGACATGCTTGATGCAGAAACTGCAGCTAGAGAACAGGCCGAAGAAGAAAACAGGGAAGCTTCGAGATGAGATATTACGCATGAAACCCGATACAATACCCGGCAGCCGTTCTGGAGGCTCCCGTGTTGGGAAACTGTCTATCATCTCTCGATCTACCATGTCCGACCGCGATGGGGATCGGAATGCCGCTGTTAACACGAATTCCAACACCACTCTTGTCGAGCTGGAGCTTCTCAAGCAGGAAAATGCTGAGTTGCGTCGGGAAGTCAGTGCACAGACGTCCATGCTCACGTCCCGTAATCGCGAAAAGGAGAGACTATATCAGGAAATTGAAGACCTGAAGCTGGGCCAGCGTAGAGCTGACGGTGGCCGGTCAGTGGCTGGTGATAGTATTTTTGAGCGTTCGGTCTCCCGCGCCCAGGACAGATCTAATTCCCGTACCAGTGATGGGGCAAGGTCACGAGCCAGCGATGCGGAGTGGGAAAGTCTCGAGATCAAAAATGGAGAACTCCGAGACCACGTGTCGACGCTTAAGCTTGAGAATCAAAGTCTTCGCGCTCAGCTGGATGAATGCATGAGTGATCTGGAGGCGCTGGATCGTGCTTATCAAGCGGACGTGGAGC